GACGTGTGCTGTTGATTTTTCAAACATTTGTCTTATTTAAACAAAATTCGTTTTTTTCTTTTTGGTTTATTTTTTGATTACACCGTCCAACACCATTTTTCACACACGAACCAAACCATATACATACGAAAGCAGATAATTTATGTGGTATAACTGCGTACTCAGTTTTTCATTTTCTGATCGTTTGTCCTTTTTAAAGGACTTTAAAATTTGAGGTACATACAATTTTCAAAAATTTTTATAAAATATTTTTAGCCACCCTATTATAACAATATGGGTATCAAACTAAAGAGGACAATTGCAGTATTTATATCTCGTATTTTGTTTTATTTTTTAAGAATAAAAAGATGTAAAAAATATCTTTACAAAAGTTTATCCTTTATTATCCTTGAAATTTTATACAAAATTGTTCAACAAAAAATATTCATAATAAAGACATTAGAATGGAGTACAAAAGTCTGAAATTTGGTCTTCATAGCTAAATTTGTTTAATTTTTATAATTTTTTTTAAATATCTCAATAAATAAATTAATAACATTTTCCCCTCTAAAATTTCAAAGTCCTTTTTTTGTTAAAATATTATGTAGAAAAATGAGAAATTTGATATTGTGGAACCGAGTTTCTTTATCTCTATGATAAAAAGTTAAAAAAGTGGAAACTTTGAAGAATATGAAAGGATAAAAATCGATTAAGGAAATCTTGCATTTTTTATCCTTTCATGTTAAAACTACCTTCTGGGGAAGTATATATTCCTTTTTAATTTAACACAATTATTCCGAACTCTCTATAGTTATTCTAAATTCTATATATCTTTTAAAAATATCTTTGACCTCCCAATAATGTTTTTAAAGTAGTTTATGATATAGTTTTCATTAAAAATACAAAAGGGCGAAGGTATATCATGTGCAATTAGTAAACCACGATATACATATATATTTAAACAAGTAGGAAAGTATAACCGGACTGGGCCGACCATATGACCAGTTGTGAGTTTATTTCAAATGTGATTTACTTTAGCAAATAAAATATTTATGTTGAATTTTATTTCAATTGCGACATATTGAAGAAAAACTAATTTTCTGAAAGTGGCTTCATATAGGGGCTAGAGTCAAATATAGATTAAAGGCCTGCACCAGACAATTATTGTTATATTTGTTTAAAAAAATATCGTGTTTATAAGTCAATTATGGAAGTTCAAGCCATATTTTACTATTATAATTTATATTTATAATAATATTGCGCTTATCATATTATCCTGAAGTGGATTTCAGAGTTCGGAACATGCATGTTTTAATCACTTAACCGTCATAATCACTCGAAATAAAATTTTATATATTTTAAGGCCTGTTATCTCAACCGGTTATCGTTTAAATGGTAGATATTCTGCTTGAAGACTGTCAATTTAACGTTATTACAAAAAATTAACAGACATTGAGATAACAACTCCAATAAGCAAGTGGTATAAATAATAAATTTACAAAATATTTTCAACAAACATATTTTTTAATTTGAATATAAATTAACTTTAAAATTTTTTTACAAAAAACTAATAAAGATAAGAACATGAAGTTATGGATTCTGGAACTCCATATTAATAAATTTGTCATATATTTTTTTCTAAAAAAACTGACTATAAAAAATAACGATATTAAAGGATTAAATTTTCAAAGGACATTTTTTTGGTTTTTTTATTCTAACATTTTAAAACTATTTTATTCGTAAAAATACTGTTGTTCTCCTCTTTCAGTGGATACCCATATTGACCCACTACACCAAACCAAATTTTAGCTAAATATAATTATACTTACTATTCCTTTCAAACTTTAAAGTCCTTTTAAAGGAAGAAACGATCAGAAAATAAAAAACCGAAAATGTAGTATAACTATATCAAGTATGTAGTTTCGAACGTATATGGTCTTGCTCATGTGTGCAACAATTTTTCCCAATTTGTTGTACGGTGTTATTTATCTACACTTAGGGCCGGTTTTTCAGATAAAGATAATCTACATTCTTTGTTTAAACCTAGTTTAATATATGTTTTGTGTTTTTCAGTAAACAGTAACGTTACTTATTATCTTAGTTTAACTGAGTGTTATTGGCCAATTAAACTTAAGTTATAAGTGAGAAGACACAATTAATAAAAACAATAAAACAATGACTTCGGAAGAACAAAAACTTAATATTTTAAGTAAATTGCAATTTTCCAATTTGTTTTGTTTTATTTATTATTGTTTTATATGTTTATTTAACATTTTTCCAAAATTGTTCATTTTACAAAAGTATTATTTGCAAAAAACAGCTGTTCATTGTTTATGTTTTTGAGTGAAAAGTTGGCAATACTAACAAAGTTAACTGAACTTAAATCCATAACTGAAAAACACAATCATCGGTTAAAGTCCGCCTAAATTTCTTCCGAGTTTAATCTAACAGCAAGTTAAGCCTAGTTTAACTGAGCAGTAGGAAACCCACCCTTAATGACACTTTTTTAGTGAATATTATTATTTTTTCTCTCGTTTATTTCATTATAAACTTTTGGAAATAGAAAAAGAAATAAATATTTATTTAAAAAAAATTTAGTATAAGAAACAAACATAAATCTAGAGATGACATGACTCCTACTACCAGTTGAAAATAGTCAGCATTTTAAAAATAAATTTTTTGTCGAAAAGAAATTTATATGGGAAATCAAAAAAGTCAACAAACAATTTGTTTATAAGTTATTTTAAGGAAAAGTGTTGTTTGATGCGATTAGTGTGTGCCAGCAAAGAAGTGTTATTGAATTTAAATTTAAATTAAATTAAAATAATAAAATTTATGGATACTGAAATGTTAAACTTCCTCTCGTATAACGCTAAATACTTTGGCATTATCTTTGATAAGAAGCTATATTGGAGCATTATGTGCTCTCTAGGGCATGTAAAGCCATTACGGCGCTATAAATATGTTTGTAGAAGGGTAATTTCAACCTACTGGGGTATAAACCCGAGTAATGTTCATTGACAATTTAAGTCTCTTATTAAATTAATAATACTGTGAGGGATAGTTGTCTGGTGGCATTTGCTTGAAAAAGCATCATACAGGCAGTACCTTGAACCGGTGCACTAAGAACAACTCTCTCAATAGGGATGTTTACTATGCTCAACTGGCCTCCAGATGATCTTCTAGCTAAACAAATGGCAAATAGTCAAATAGAACATTTTTTCCATGGGTCACGCGAAAATCATGGATCTTCTACCAAGACTACAGTTCGCTGTAGATTATCTTTCCGTTATACAATTGTATCCATGTATATACAGACGGATCCAAGACGACGTTAGTGGTTTGTAATGGCATCTTCATTGCGGAATTTGGGATTAAAAACTCTATCCGACTCAAAGATGACTGCATTTTCCTTCAAGCTGAAAACAGCTATAAGGAGACACAGAGATATCAGAATTTATACCGATAGTCAAGCTGCTATTAAATCCCTTATTGGTGTGTTTTCCACATTTAGAATTGTCCATGGATGCCGGACGTCTCTCAATGATATAGCGATACATTCGAGCGTTCCCACGACAACCACATTAAACGAACTGGAAACAGATCAGTTCTGTGGTATTCCAAAAAGACAAATTATTGATAATTGTTACTCTACTGCTCAAGACCGATGGTCATGTAAGCACATTTGCTCGATAGCTTAAGCGCTGTGTACCCATATGGATCCACGCAAGTCTGTCTCATTGGTTTTAATAAACTACAACTAGCCAAGCTAGTGTCGATTGTTACTGGCCACTGCAAATTTGATAACCATACTACACGCATTGCTCTTCCGTTAATCCGAGATATCGAATGTTCAATGGGTGAGAACTTAAATTAAAGTAAGAAATTCTAACTAAGAGTTCGCAATCTTTATAACACGTCTTTACTATATGATATTAGTCTTTGTTTCCTCACTAGTCGTTTCTCCACTCTTCTTCTCCTTCTCTTTTCTAATATCCCTACACTTTCTTTTTCTTAAAGGCATTTTTAAAAAGGGACCAACTTTGGACCCACGTAAGGCTAAATGTTAAACTTTCAATTAGCCGAGCTATAACTAATTCCTGTAAACTTTTAGGATTAACAATTTAGTTTTTTTTTATTTCTTGAGAAATGTTCCTGTAAAATTTGCTTTATATTCCTAAAAAATTATAATCAGGTTTTCAAGATATCGAGTTTAAAATATCCCGTTTATGGCAATATTTGATACCTTTTAACAGCACAAAGTAATCACTGTTTGTAAATTATGACTTATCGCCTAAAAGTTCTATTCTCGAAGAAGAATATCTATACAGATGTTACGCCTTTTTGAAACTTGTCTGATTGGACTTTCAGATGACATTATAAACTTTATAAATAAAGTTATCTTTGCACTACTATAATGTATCAAATAAGACCAAAAATTGATTACCCTATGCCACTACAGCGGTGTATGTATGTATATTTAAATATACTCATAACTGGTGTAGGGTATCATATGGCCGTCCATGCCCAACAACCTCGGCTTGTTCAGCTGGATGCCTATATAAACATTGTAAGCAATACACAGGTTCGCAATTATAATGATAATTCGATAGAATTTGTTTGAGACCTACTTTGGGCCATCCAAACAACGTTGAGAGGAGGATGTATGTTATATAAAATCTCTGGTATGTGTCGAAACCACGTCCTCTGGTCTAACAGAATAGAATACTAACCAATAAGCTAAGCCGCATTAAGTGATCCACACATCCATGGCCATAAGTAATACCTATTTACATTAAACCATATTCCTTATATTCTTCCTGTTTACATTGCCATATTTACACTCACATAAAAAAACAAAAAGAAAAATGCGGAAACAGGTGCCAAAAGAATAAACATAATTTTCTTCAATTAATAACAAATATAAAATCTTTCAAATATCCAACATCTTTCACTATAACTTGTTCGCATTTTTCAATAAGTAGTAGGTATACAACTAAATTAAGGAAACTCCAACTTACCACTCTTTGATTGTTCCTCTATTGTTTCCATTTTTATTTGCAGTTCTGTTGTTTTTTCACAAACTTTTTATTAATACTTTTGTAAACAAAACAAAAAAAGTTAAATAAAAAATCCACAAAGTTGAATTAATTAACTTCTCACAGAGAAGCCATTGTTAATCAAATTAAATAAACCACTTAATTTATTATTTTGGTATTTACAACACATTTGCAATTTAAATATTTTGTCAACTTTTTTTTTTAACTTCAACAAATAATCTTTTTTAAAGTTTTGTGTATAGAGAAAATTGCACAAAAATTTGTTTTAATTTCAAGATCGTCCAACAACTCGCTTCTAAGAAAATATCTTTACATCTCTTTACAAACAATTAAAGGCCGCTTTTTTAGTTGTTGTTGTTTTTTATTAGATACAGGCTTTTCAAACCATAAATTAAAAGGGAATGTTGTGTTTTTATCCTTTTTATTTGTATTTCTTGTTAAAAATTACTTTTTTTGTTCTTGTTTTCTTTTAAAATCCTAAACCTTTGACAGGCCAGGTAAAGCTAAAGATTTTCTTAAACACCACTGTTTTATGTAAATTCTTTTCTTCTTTTCATTTTATCCAATAATTTTTTAAGATTATTTTTATGTTTTATCAAAATTTTATTATTTTTGAATTTATTTTATATCCAACACTTCAAGGACACTTATTTTTTATTTAATTTTATACAAATTTATTTAAACGACATTTTACTTTTGTGTAAAATTTTCCAATTTGATTTTTTTTTCACTTTTTCTTTGTATAAATAGATTATTTTTTTATAATTTGTTTAATAAATAATTTAATTTTTTGAAATTGCTTAATTAAATTCTCCCTTTTTTATTGTATTTCTTTCCTTGTTCTTGTTCGTATTAACAGCGGCGTTGGCGGCGACGAATAATAAACTGCAGCGCGGCCATAGAAAAATTGAAATTTCCAACGATCGTTTGCGATGTTTTTTGTTTGTGTTTGTTCTGTCAATTGATGCGATGTTTTTCGTAATGACAGCTGTTTGTATGCTCAAAAATGGCGCTAGAAAAATGCAACGCTGTTCTACAAGGCAGGGATGAGTTTTGTTTTTAAAAGTAGTGTTGCCAGCAGTTGTAAATATAATTGATGAATAGAAAAATGTTTAAATTATTTTAATTGCTAATAATGTCGAAACTAATACTATGTTCACATATCCATGTTTTTAACGTGTTTTTGGAAAAACTCAATGAGTTTAAACACAACCGTTCATATATTAAATTACCGTGTTTTTTGCTTTGAAATGTTTTTCCGACTTAAACATTTCGTTTTAAAAATTAAGATTTTCACTTAAATTACACAAAATTTTATATTTAAACACAATTATTTATTAAATTAAAACAAATTTAAAATCTTTTCAACAACAATATTAATATTTTTTGTAATTTCAATTTTTATTTTTGACATTACTTTTTGTTCTAGCTGTGTTCATTAAACAAAAGTACGAAAAAAATCATTCCTGTTCTAAAAACATTATGTGTTTTATAATTAAATACGTCGAATTGAGATGTTTTTGAACTTAAAAAAGCATGATGTGTTTCAAAAAACACGAAGGTGTGAACGTAGTATTATAATAAAGATATTCTAAAGTGATAACTTCAAAGATATATTATGTCTTTAACGTACTTTAACCCTTTCGCTATATAGCAGCCATATGGCTATATTCAATATTTTTGCAAATAAATTCGATATTTACAAAAAAAAATATTTTTAATCAATTTCTGGAATATATTTTGATACATTCAAAACACAGTACATAGATTGGAATAAAGAAATTGCAATTGTGTTATCGATATTCATGTTCGATTGATAGTAATTTGAAAATGTGTCTGAACAGATTTTTGAATTTCAAATTTGTTTTAAGTGATTTCATTTTTAAAAATTTGTAAAAAACTATTAAATTGTAATTAAAATAATTTCAAAAATTTAGAAACATAATACATAGTGAAAAATTAAAATACAAAATATTTCAAAAAAGTCATTGCGTCCTTCAGCATAAGCTTCCATGATTAAAATTTAAATTTCGAATAACTGCCAAAAACCAGTAATCCTGTGCCTCGTTTCTGTATTTTTCTCGAATCGAGAAAAAAATAAAAATATGATGGTCTTCCACTTTTTAACAGGGTTATTCAGTTTATTTTCAAAATGTACGCGTTAAAATTTAACAACAAATATTTAAATTTCTTGTGTTCGCTCTGTTTTATACAGGATGATCACAAATTTTCCGACAATTTTTCTCGATATGAAAAATACAGAAACGGGGTAATGTATATACCAACTTGGTATATACAACACCAGTACTGGTTTTTGGTATTACCAACCTCGTGTTATAATTCAAATATCTAGTTAAAACCCGTAACGAAATGGTTAAGACATATTTCGATAAAATCATTTATCGTGGGAATACAATTATATTATTCAAAAGAGTCGCAAATTTAGTTCATACTAAAAGAGGGGTACAAATTGGCAAGGCCCTTCAAATTTTCGCTTTCTCCTCATTATCGTACGTCAAAGGTGAATATTTCGAAACTTTTGCTGTCAGTCGCAAATTGCGACTCGCAATTTGACGCAAAGTATTATATGTATCTTTTTGTGACACTTTGTATACGTTAAAAAATCTCGTGACCACTGTTGCCAGATTTGACGATTTATCATCATTTTGATGATTTTCACTGTCAAAAATGGACTGTTGACGATTTGAACTCTAAATTTGACGATTTTTAAAATAGGATTTTTGTACTAATTTTAATACATTTCATTGTTCTATCTATAATTTTAAAGAAAATCGATGTATTTAGAATATCCAATGAAAATGTTAATAAAATTAAACATAATGTTTTAGAGTATGTACATTGATCAACTGATTTACGTAATAACGAACTCAAACATTTTTGAGAATTTCTCTTTTATTTTTGGGCCAGCACTTAGGGGTTATTGGATCTAGAATAATTGATAGTGGGAAGAAGGATAGAGGGAGCAGTTTTTTGGACATTTGATATAAAGGAGGAAATTTGTTTTGCATACGAACAATTGAAACATCTAATATAAATATATTTACTAGAGATCATATCAAGTTAGTTTGCAAGAACTCAATGTAAAGTATTTAATTCATATTTGCCAAATTAAACAGATAATAAACAAATGCATTCGTAATTCAGCTCTGGGTGGAGGAAGATCGTCTTTGTCATTAAGGGGAATCAGACCGTCCTTTTTGTTCTGCCTTCGAGAGTTTTACGTTTCAAACCGCATTGGTCAAATGCTGCACCGAGTTAAAGGCCCTTCACACGGTCACACTTTACGTACGACAAGTCTAATGAAAAAGTGAAATGAAATTCCATCCGTATGACAAAAAAGAGAATAAAAGTCGTATGATTTATATTTTTTGTGTTTACACGATTGGTATAAAACAATAACAAAGTAAGATGGAAACAGCTGTTTCACTTTTTTGTATGTGTTTACATAAAAATACATCCCTGATCTAATGCGACTTGCTTGTTTTTTGAATCATTTTAAAAAATGAAGAGAGCCATACGATTGTCAAATTTTCCATCCGTATTTTCTCTAAATGTGTGATGGTTTCATTACATATTGCGTTTAGACGATCCCATCCGTTCTCTTCTACACAAAATTTTGACAGATCATTTTACTTGTGTGCTCGTGTGAAGCGGGCTTTACTGTTTTTTGAAGTGCATGTTGACCATATGCATTCGTTTTAACTTAACCAAGTTTTCATTTTGATTATCGTGGAGAACCAAAAAAACTCAATTTGATATTCTGTCTAGTCGTACTGGAATAATTGGTGTTGGCGTTATAATCTTTCGATTCGACAAAGAAGCATCTGCAGCTAAGCAAACTTAAAGTACAAACAAACAAAACTGAAATCTATCGAAAATGATAAAAATGTCTCGATAGTTAAAATAATTACTATAAAATCGTATAAATACCATCAAACATATATATAATATATATCGAAAATAGCTTTGACGATTTCGAAAAAGCAGTTGACGATTTTGACGATTTATTCCTCGAAATTTGACGATTTTACTTCCAAATCATCTGGCAACTATGCTCGTGATGTTTCGACGAGTTGGAAATTATCTCACCAGCAAGGTGAATTCAAGAAATCCCTTGCCATGCGACATCTGTTGAGCTGTAGTTTTACTAGTGCTATTCAACATTGATGGTAAAAGAATTGACGAAAATAAAAACCTTCAATGTGGCAATTTGTCAAACTCTCAACTGACAGTTTATCAATAACAACACAAAGCCACACTGCACACATACAACATTTGCATTGTTTTTATTTTCCATCCAAAAAGTAAACAAATTTATTTCATAATTTATGACAAAACCAAAAAACAAAGTTTCAATTTAACAACAAAAAGTGTTAAAAAATAACGGTTATTAACAAACGAATTCAAAATCACCTTTACAAAATGATGGATAAATTTCTACCGCAAGTAGCAGCAGTAAGTGCACAACAGCAGCAGCAGCAACAACAACAAGTAGCACAAACTCAGTCCTCAAAATCGTTTAGTGTTTCGGAAGAACATCGTCACTATTTGAAAGTATTCATACAAACCTATCACAATTTGCCAATTCTATGGGATACATCTCTGCGAGACTATACCAATCGTGACAAACGGGCCGATGCCTATCAAACTTTGGTTCCCATTTATAGGTATTTGAAGAGGGATGCCACTTTGGAGGATGTTAAAAAGAAAATAAACACGTTGCGCACTAACTATCGCAAGGAGTTGAAAGTAGTGGAGGCAGCCCGCAAGCAGGGCAATCATTATCAACCTAGATGCTGGACATTTTATGAATTGGATTTTCTGCGTAATGCTGAGAAGTTTCTGGCCATCGATACTTCGATTATAAAACATGAAACATCCTCATCTTCAACAACACCTTCGGCCTATAATACCTTTAGTGAGTCTGCTCATGCGGGACATTTTCTGGATAATGCTCCCTATGGTTATCTAATGGGCAAAGGTAATACCTCACCCATGAGTATAACGGAAATGTTTCACAAATCATTTGGTCAACAAAACAACAACAATAACAACCAACAGCAAAGAGTAGAAGCAAATAGCAATCATACCACTCCACCCTTAGGTTTACCGGGTGGTATACAATCACATCTCAATGTACCCACTAATACAACGCCATATCAAACACCAACAGCGGCAGTATCCGCTAATGCAAACAAACGCTTAAAAACGACTACATCCTCTTCACCACCCGATGAAATGCTCAACATGGCCTGTGATTATTTATCCTCCACTTATCCCGAAGAGGAATCTATAGCACGCACCTGGACCCATAAATTGAAAAGATTACCCAGAGAACAACGCCTTTTAGCGGAGAAGTTTATAAACGATATTCTCTTCGAAGCTGAATCAGGCAGTTTACATCGTGGCTCCATGCAGTTAAATGCTTTGGAACCATATGTCCGCTTTGAGGAATCACAAAATGACGATAGTAGCCAGGAGAAGCCACAAAGTCCGAATGTTTTGACTAATAATACAACAAGTACAAATGCAACACAGTCTTTGGAACAAACCCCCAATGAGACAAACACCACACATCATTCTCCTTTAGCCGTAGGAAATATGCTAATAAATGATGGTTCCACTGCCAGTGCCTCAAATGATACGGATAATAATAGTAGAAATACTAGCGCTTTTAGCAGTTACAATTAATTAAAGAAGGAATTATTTTATAAGAAATGAGAATATGGTCTTGAATCTTTGAAAGATTTGTTTAATGGGCATGGCTTGATGTTTGAAATTTTTTTTTTTTGGAGATATTACTTGTGAGATACTGTTGCAATATTTTATTTTTAATTCAATTTTTTAATATAAAGTTTATTTTTAAAGTTTAATGTATGTAAACATAAATATTACATACATACGTAAAGAATGTAATAGATTTGCAAATATAGTGTAAAGTGCATGTATTTTAGGCTGGACCAGATATTTGGTACGGTGATAATAAAAAGAAGTAGATTTACAAAAAAAGTCACGTTTTTACAATTTCCAAGGAATGATAGAACAAAAAAAGTTTAAAATTATTCAGTTTATAAATCATTCTCAACATTCAACATTTTCCAAAACCCATAACTGCTCAATTATAGTCTAGACTACACTGCCTACTTTAGTTTTCAATATGACCAAAACTATAGTCAAGAGCAATGTCTAACTATATTGAATCTTTAGTTAACAGTATATGTACAGTATATGTACTGGTACAATGGTACATTAACCCCCAATTTGTCTATAGTTTAGTCTACCGTCTAGTATATAAACCACAATTTGACAATTTTACAATTTCATTTGCCACTCCCTATATAGACAAAAACAAATTGCATAAGGAACGATTTTAAAAATCCACAATTATTTATTTATATATAGTTCTGATATTACCAACAAAAACAATACTTTAGACAATTTACTAAATTAATAATTATGAAATTAATACATACTTCATAATTTGTAATTGTGGAAGAGATCTAATTGTTAGTATAAAAAATCATGAATGTACTCTTTAACAAACACTATTATTAAAATAATATAAAAAATAACTAATTTCAGATTAAATCTGTTTGTAGGTGATAAAGGAAATAATAAATTAAATGAGTATATTAAATTAATTTGAAATAAATTAAATTTTAGTTTCCGTTCACCCTTTGATAATTTGTAAAACCTCTGGCAAACCATACGAAGGGAGAGGCAGCAGCAAACATAAGACCAGCACCAACCATAGGTCGGTGTAAAATCCAAGCCACAGCGGCTATAACAAGAGCCATTGATAGTGAGAGTAAGACATTGGTACCGACTGGAAAACGTGGATCTGGAGCCAGTGAGGAAAGGAATTGTATGCGGGATACTGAAACAAGTAAATATTTTAAAGAAATAATTTGAAAATTCTAAATAAAATAGTTTTTACTCACAAATAACATGCAATAAAGTAGAAGTGCAAGTAACGCCAAAAAATACTAAAACCCAACCCATAAAACGGAATCCCCAGGTTGTTAAGCGTTGTGCATGATGTTCCTTTTTAAATACTTCCGTTAATGACCATTCTCCTGGATATACTAATAGAATATCAACACCACGACTTGTTCGGTAGGGTTCTATTTTATTTTTTACCAATTTTCCTACAATAGTAAACTGCAAAGCAAATCATATAAACATTACTGTACGTCCACTGTCAAATTTGAAAATTCGCTTACCATTTCACCTTCCATACCAGCAAATGAGAATAAAATACGTATATCACCAATTTCTGGATTAAATATATCATTAGAATGATAATATAAACCTAAATGCAATTTGATTGTAGGATCCTCTGGTCGAGAATCTGAGGTTAATTCTACGAAATTATTAAATTTATTTTTAATACTATTTCCCAACTCAAAGCGTCCTATATAAACGGCATCTGCTACTTGAGTTTCCGATTCGATGGGGAATTGTTTAGGATTTTGATGGCCGGTTTGTATGTAGAATGAACGAGAATCTATGACTGTATCGCGCCAATCACGTGTATAATAATAAGTACGATCCTCGGTATGCACCGAGGCTACACTTTCACCATAATTGTGTTCACTGTTAAAAAAAATAATCAAATTTCTAATCCATTGTATAATGTTACAGACACCTACACTGTTTCCTCGATCCACTGATACATTTGCACGCGCCTTCTCAACTTGACCGCCAACACCTGTATGTTATAATCCGGCTCAGTTAATGGTTCACCCACTATAATTGGTCCAGAAATATGCACAATACGATCATTGTATATGGGTTCGATATCATCAGCTGTGGCGTCCAGTGTTACAGCATCATCCAAAGCCTCGTCCAACGACATGATAGTATGAACCGCTCTTCCCTTTTTAATTATTACATAGTATTTTAAAAAAATTATGTATTATAAAACAAAGTTCCACCAACCTACCTCATTCCAAAATAGTACACCAGCTCCACCAATAAATAGTATTAGGCCAAATGTTGCTATAAGCCAACATGAACGATATGTTTCGATTAAGGTCATTGTTATGGCATTATTTATAATTATTATTTTATTTTAAATTCTATTTATGTTATTTTTTGCGAATAATTTGCAACGATTCCGCAACACTTACAACTATTTTTACGTGATCAGCTGTTGATTAGGTTTCAATTGTGTTATTAATTTAGGATGAATATCAACTCATAACATTAGACGGAGAGTTGCCAGCCAGTATTTATATAATATTAACCCTTGGGTATTCCTTGATAAAATAGAACTTTTATACTTTTATTACAAAATTATAGTTATTCAAAAGCAATCTGGGTTTTAATTCCTTCTGTATGATTATATAAAGGTATTTTCAGACTATAATTTTAAATTAAAAAATATCGTAGAAATAATTCGGTATATCAAAATATCACTTCGAAAATACATTGTATGTATGTATTTATACAATTTTCTATTTTCTATCAATTTCTATATGATTTTATTAAATACGAACCAAATATGTTTGAAAATAAAAAGTTTTTGAATTATAAAAAAAAAAAAAAAAATTATGAATCCGACATGGGAAGATTTTATTTTTGTGTTTGATATGAAAAAATAGAAAAAATGGATTATTTGTTAGAATTTCATTTATAATAAAAAATTGTTATTTAAATATTGCATTACCTTCTACTTTAAATTTGTAACCGCTTATGGCCTATAGGCTATGTTATTGCACATTGTTAAATAAAATAAAAAAATTAAATAAAATAAAAACTTACTTTTTACTCATGTTTTCAAAATTAATAAAATTTAGTTTACATTTTGATTTGTTTGTTATTTTTCTTTCTGCTTCACTAAATACTGATAGATTTGGATTAGATTTTCCCGAAATCTACTTACGAAGTAGATTTTGTTTTGTTTGCTAAATCTAGTTAAAATCAATTATAGTAAGTACGTATGTACTATTTTCTTGTTAAAATGTAAATAGGCTATTAAAAATGTAATCAAAACAAATATAATAACAATTTCCTTAACAAATTACAAACGTAAAAGTTTTTTACGAATTTCTATTTAAAAATAACGTTTATTTTAATACACAAATTATCTGGCATCCTTTTATGCAAATAACATATGTCATCATTTATTATTGAATACCAAGAAAAAGAAGTTTTTTTATTTACATTTCGTGGTAGAATTTTATTTATCTTTGGAACTCATTGGTTTTCCTATTAACTGAGGTTTGATATGTCCTCCGAAAGTGTTGCACCGAGTGCAGAAATTTCTGCAGAAGAGATAGCCAAGTTATGCTTTGATAAATTTAGAAGTCTGCCTAAAACTGGTAAACCTAATGAAAAAGAATGGACCATATTAGCTGGAGTGGTTTTGCACCATAAACAAACTGCTAAAAGTGAAGTAATATCTTTAGGCAGCGGCACTAAATGCATAGGAAAAAGTAAGCTATGTCCACAAGGATTGATACTTAACGATTCACATGCAGAGGTCATGGCTAGAAGGGGGCTAATGCGTTATATGTACCATCAACTAAAGAATGCTTTGCTTAAATCTGATGGAGATGAAAGCATATTTGAATGGTTACCAGAACAACAAAAGTTTCAATTAAAAAAAGATTTAACTTTACATTTCCTTAGTACCCAAACTCCGTGCGGAGATGCCTGTATAATTGCAGAGGCTAAACCACAAGATTGTAATGAAGAAGAACCCATAATAAAACGTAGCAAATTGGAAGAGGTAAAGTTTGATGAAACAAATACGGGTTGTATAGTAGATAGTGTATATACTGGTGCTAAACTTATAGGTTCACATCACAGTGATGCTATGCAGCAGTTGGTGGGTGCTGTAAGAACAAAACCGGGCCGCGGTGAACGTACCTTATCTATGAGTTGCAGTGATAAGTTAGCTAAATGGCAAGTGATGGGAGTACAAGGAACCTTATTGGATTTTCTAATCCTGGCGCCCATATATTTTGATACATTAAATTTTTGGGGTGACAATGATTTTGTTAGCTTAGAAAGGGCAATTTGGAAAAGATTTGAGAATAATGACTTTAAATCCACCAAATACAAGCTTCATATACCAGAAATTAGAATTTGCAAGAAACCGGAATTTCTTTATGCCCAAGATAATGCAAAACAACCTTCACCAAATGGTTTGGTGTGGTGTAATATACCAGAAGTGTTAAAGTAAGTTTATTTTCAGTATTTAAATGATTGAATGTAATTAACAGTTTTATTTTTTTTTTTTTTTAATTTACAGACCTTATGAAATTTCCGTGAATGGCAAGAAACAAGGAATTACTTTAAAGAAACTACAAAGTTCTCAGTCGGCTTTAAAAATTTCTAAATTTTTTCTTTTAAAAGAATTTATAAATGTTTTAAAAATGCAGCCTGCTTTATGTAACACTGTTGATAAATTGGAATCAAAAACTTATTTTGAATGTAAATCATTGGCAAAAGATTATCAAAATGCTTGGTCTACTGTTAAGCTAAATTATTTTAGACAATGGTCTTATAAACCGGACAATCTTTTACATTTTTCTGTAGAAGAGGTAGAAAATAAAGACAATATTAAAAAATAACCCTGCAGGAAATGAAGCGACAATTGTCTAAAAGCCACTAGTACTATTACTAGTACTGCAGACACTAGTACAAAAGGGGTTAGAGTTTTAATGAAAAAATACTAGTACTAGAAGTAGTTTAAGGGGCACCACTTGCAGGCTGTTTTTTATTTGACATGTGTTGGAAAAAAAATAAATTATTTAAATTATGAAATTAATATTTTCAAACATTTTGCATAAAATAAAGGAAATTTACAAAAATTTTAATTCAAATCAGGGGATAAATAGTGAATGACTGTTTAGGTGCAGTTGCATGCAGAACCCTATGAAGGTACGTCTGTTAAATCTAAAAATTGCAATTAGTTATTTATTTTATCATACGCAAATGTTCATATTTAAGGCGATGTATTTAAGGCGATACCTGAATGCAATTTTGTGGACATTATATACATATATGTATATAACCCATGTTGGTGGTTCGGATAGAAACCAGTATGTATTTACAACATTTTTTATATGAATTTAATTTTTATGAATAAAACAATAAAAAAAAAACTAATTTTGTAGTAATTTTTACTTGGAACCAAGCAGGAGGATTAAAAGGAGCAAAATTACCAATTATGGGGACTTTTTCAAACATTAGAACTAGTAATTAACTGGTTCTAAAGAACCCAATTTGGTCCAAGTGTACTAGTATAAGTCTAGAACTATTGGTACTAGTAATTTTTCAAACACACTCAATGTTAATTTGAGCATTAAGATGGTATAGGAAAGTTTACAGTTGGGAACTAGTACTGGTGATTTTGGTACTAGTAAAATACTAGTTTAGTACTAGTACCATTTCCTGCAGGGAAGTTTTGTGTGTTTAAATTTTCATATGATCGTAGCCTAGAAAGAATTTTTATTGTTTTTTGAAATTATAAAGATTTACACAGGCCAATAAATTACACAATTTATTAAGGGAAATATGGAGATATCTTGAAAACTAAACTTTTTTTAAGAAATGTTTACATTTATCTCTGGTTTTCGACTTTTTGTTGGTCTGTAAACCCTGTGTGACCAAAATGTCCAACCACTGACCCACTCTCACTCCGGCAGTTTTTGACCGATAGAACTGAAAATCGATTTTTTTACTTTAAATTGTCAATCCATATCTATTGTTCTTCGCACAAAGGAAAATAAACCTTGAATATTCATTCTTTCCAAGCGTTGATTCTAATTTAACGGAATCAGATTAAAAATTAACCATTTTTTTTAGAAGAGGAAATATTATTTTTTTATTTAATATTTTTAATACATATTTTTTGCTTGTTTATTTTGTTTTAATTGTTTACGATAAGTAACTACTGGTTTTTGAAAAATTTTATTTTGGTTATTGCAATTAAAAATATATTTATATTTACAACAAATAATTTATTGCTGGCTATAAAAAAATATGTTTAGGGGTTTCTTTTTCATTTTAAATTAATAATAAAAAGCTGAATTCATTATTATAATAATTATAATAATTCAGTCTAAATAAATATTAATTTTTTATATATATTTTTATAAATAATTTATTTTTATTTAATTAAATTTATAAAGCCTTAGCTAATTAGTAAGTTAAGAAAAATAAAATCACATTGCATTCTTTAAAAAAAATAAAAGGGCTGGAGTTGGTTTAAAAAAATTGTAATAAAAAATATAAAATAAAACAAAAATTTGTTTCAAAATAAAAAATAATTTTTATTTTTTTCTAATAAAAATTCAATTTAAAACTTACAAACAAATTTAACAAACTGTTTTAAAACAAAAGTTTTTGTTTAGTTTATACAATAATTAACTAAATATTTTAGAAGATAAAATAAAAATATACAAACTTAAAATAAATTTAGATTATTTACAAATTAAAATACATACAAATAAAAATAAGGATTAAAAACTAAAGAAAAAAAAAGAAAGAGATTTTAATAAAAGTGATGTCTGTCTGTTATTTACTTTTATAACAATTCAAAATTTTGTAGGTTTTCTAATATCAGTTTAAGTTTAAAATTTAAACTAAATGTTAAGTGTGTTTGACATGAACTGATGCTTTTTAAACTTTTAAGATAAATATATAATGTTTAATTTGTTATAGGAGTTTGTTTAAATAAATTTGGTTACTAGTTTGTTAAGGATTACAATATCACTTGTCTACATAATATAATTTCTTATTAAAGTGTATATATTTTTGTATTTTGTTTTTTGTTTTTGTATAAATACATACGTAATAATAAAGCTTATATATTTCCTATAAATATAATGAAAGCATATTAAATAAAGTTTTACAAATTATTACAGTGTTTCACATTTAAACTATATTTTCTCTTTAGCAGCTATCCGCTTGACACTTTTTATAACTAAAACTTTTATTAAACCATAAATAACAAAAAAAAAATATATATATTAACATATTATATCTTGAGTTTTTCTTTATAAAGTCCAATAGTTTTTATTTTTTTTTTTTTTTAATTTATTAAAAAGCTTTATCCATAATCTTCTTTCTTTGCAAAATTTTGTTTAAAATTTAAAAACTATTTGGTGGTGTTATATGGTTTTACTATACGTATATGCATTAAGACAATTTTCTTTAAAATTATTGTTACTGCATCTTTACTTCTTGTGTCTAAATAGTTTACAAAAGAATATACGTTTAGAAACTAAAAAAAAAAAAAATTATGTTTTTATTGCTAATATTTCTTTTTCTGTATAAAAAAACTAAAGAAAAGAAAAACAAAGAAACACTTATTGAAAACCTTTACTATTTTTTGAAATATCTTTGTTATAACAAAACAAATTAAAAAAAGTTAACGTTGACTAACATGCCACACAATTAAATAACTTTTATCGCCACGATTTTCAATGGTTTGATTTTGTTCCAGATTGATACTCTTTTCCATATCATTGTCATCTGTAAAAAAAGCATAAAGTTTTATTAGTATAAATTAAATTATCGAAAAATACTGAAAGTGATTTAGTACTAGCTATTGTTAGCAGTAAAACATAATTGTGTATTTAACAGTTGTTAGGATTATTGTACATATGCAGGAAACACACTAAACATTATAATAATCAGTCATGTTTTGTTTAGCATACTTTATTTTTCGGGTTTGTTCCGATCGGAATATTACAAGTACATACGTAGTTATAATTGCGATCAACATTCTTTAACTTTATTATTTTTGAAATATAATTAGAAATTTCTGAAATACAATCGGAAATGATGTAGTTACAGAAAGAGTACAAACCGAACGAAAAACGCAGAAACTTTGATATTGCATATGAGTTGAATTACATAACAAAAGCGTGTCAGATAAGATTTCGCGTATTAATTAAGCGAGTTATGAGGGTTTTGAGACCATTTCATACTAATGCTGGTAGTAGGCAGCGTAGTCTATAGTCTAGTCTATAGTCTAGTCTATAGTCTATTCTATAGTCTAGTCTAGTCTATAGTCTAGTCTATAGTCTAGTCTATAGTCTAGTCTATAGTCTAGTCTATAGTCTAGTCTATAGTCTAGTCTATAGTCCAGTCTATAGTCTAGTCTATAGTCTAGTCTATAGTCTTGTCTATAGTCTAGTCTATAGTCTAGTCTATAGTCTTGTCTATAGTCTAGTCTATAGTCTAGTCTATAGTCTAGTCTATAGTCTAGTCTATAGTCTAGTCTATAGTCTAGTCTATAGTCTAGTCTATAGTCTAGTCTATAGTCTAGTCTATAGTCTAGTCTATAGTCTAGTCTATAGTCTAGTCTATAGTCTAGTCTATAGTCTAGTCTATAGTCTAGTCTATAGTCTAGTCTATAGTCTAGTCTATAGTCTAGTCTATAGTCTAGTCTATAGTCTAGTCTATAGTCTAGTCTATAGTCTAGTCTATAGTCTTGTCTATAGTCTAGTCTATAGTCTTGTCTATAGTCTAGTCTATAGTCTTGTCTATAGTCTAGTCTATAGTCTAGTCTATAGTCTAGTCTATAGTCTAGTCTATAGTCTAGTCTATAGTCTAGTCTATAGTCTAGTCTATAGTCTAGTGTATAGTCTAGTCTATAGTCTAGTCTATAGTCTAGTGTATAGTCTAGTCTATAGTCTAGTCTATAGTCTAGTCTATAGTCTAGTCTATAGTCTAGTCTATAGTCTAGTCTATAGTCTAGTCTATAGTCTAGTCTATAGTCTAGTCTATAGTCTAGTCTAGTCTAGTCTATAGTCTAGTCTATAGTCTAGTCTATAGTCTAGTCTATAGTCTAGTCTATAGTCTAGTCTATAGTCTAGTCTATAGTCTAGTCTATAGTCTAGTCTATAGTCTAGTCTATAGTCTAGTCTATAGTCTAGTCTATAGTCTAGTCTATAGTCTAGTCTATAGTCTAGTCTATAGTCTAGTCTATAGTCTAGTCTATAGTCTAGTCTATAGTCTAGTCTATAGTCTAGTCTATAGTCTAGTCTATAGTCTAGTCTATAGTCTAGTCTATAGTCTAGTCTATAGTCTAGTCTATAGTCTAGTCTATAGTCTAGTCTATAGTCTAGTCTATAGTCTAGTCTATAGTCTAGTCTAGTCTAGTCTATAGTCTAGTCTATAGTCTAGTCTATAGTCTAGTCTATAGTCTAGTCTATAGTCTAGTCTATAGTCTAGTCTATAGTCTAGTCTATAGTCTAGTCTATAGTCTAGTCTATAGTCTAGTCTATAGTCTAGTCTATAGTCTAGTCTATAGTCTAGTCTATAGTCTAGTCTATAGTCTAGTCTATAGTCTAGTCTATAATCTAGTCTATAGTCTAGTCTATAGTCTAGTCTATAATCTAGTCTATAGTCTAGTCTATAGTCTAGTCTATAATCTAGTCTATAGTCTAGTCTATAATCTAGTCTATAGTCTAGTCTATAATCTAGTCTATAGTCTAGTCTATAGTCTAGTCTAGTCTATAGTCTAGTCTATAGTCTAGTCTATAGTCTAGTCTATAGTCTAGTCTATAGTCTAGTCTATAGTCTAGTCTATAGTCTAATCTATAGTCTAGTCTATAGTCTAGTCTATAGTCTAGTCTATAGTCTAGTCTATAGTCTAGTCTATAGTCTAGTCTATAGTCTAGTCTATAGTCTAGTCTATAGTCTAGTCTATAGTCTAGTCTATAGTCTAGTCTATAGTCTAGTCTATAGTCTAGTCTATAGTCTAGTCTATAGTCTATAGTCTAGTCTATAGTCTAGTCTATAGTCTAGTCTATAGTCTAGTCTATAGTCTATATTTGCTTAAGAAGAAGTCTAGTCTAGTCTATAGTCTAGTCTATAGTCTATAGTCTTGTCTAGTCTAGCCTAGTCTAGTTTAGTTTAGTTTAGTCTATAGTCTAGTCTAGTCTATAGTCTAGTCTAGTCTATAGTCTAGTCTATAGTCTAGTCCATAGTCTAGTCTATAGTCTAGTCTATAGTCTAGTCTATAGTCTAGTCTATAGTCTAGTCTATAGCCTAGTCTATAGTCTAGTCTATAGTCTAGTCTATAGTCTAGTCTATAGTCTAGTTTATAGTCTAGTCTATAGTCTAGTCTATAGTCTAGTCTATAGTCTAGTCTATAGTCTAGTCTATAGTCTTGTCTATAGTCTAGTCTATAGTCTAGTCTTCAACCATGTTAATCCCTTCACAAAAGAAAAGACTAGTGACAAAATTTGTTAAAATAATAGCTAGTTTGTGAAAAATTAAACAAGATCGAGAAAAAATCGTAATGTTTCCATGAGTGGTTTCGGAATATTCCACATACATATCTTTGTTATTTCTGATATAACTATAAAATTGGGTCTCGCAGATATCTGCGGTATTCCGAAAATTGGTCTCGACATACATACGGACAGACAAGCGGACATGGCTAAATCAGTTATATTTTAAGTGGGATATCTAAAAGTTCGTTTTTTACGTTTCATAGCGTCAAAAATTTGTTCATATGTATGTCTATGGAAGCTAATGTAAAACAACACACACAATTATTAATCTTACACTTTTCTAAAAGGCGTAACATTTTTAAAACATAAATTATATTAAAATTTAATGCTGAAATAAATTTTGAATGCAAAACAATAAAAGCCGAAGTGAGCAAACAAATGCCTAATTCGATTTTTTCTGAGAAATACTGTAAATTGGACTCTTGCATTTGGACTCTTTACAAAATTGCATTTGGACTCTTTACAAAAATACTGAATTTTTATCGGACTTATAAATACATATAATTATTTACATATTTTATACATAATACATAGTTTATGTGTACACACCACTGCGCATATTTGGTAGTTTGTTTTGTAAAGTTAATGATTCTTATTGCAAAAAAATTTCGAAATAAAATTATTAACAAAATTATATATAA